GTGAAATTATCTATAGGGTGCGATATAGCTGGATCTACAACAGTCGCTGTCAAAGTCATGCGTCCAATCTCGTGGGTCCCTTGCGATTCAGCAGTTTTATTCTGCTGCGTAGGTACAGAGAAACGTAGCTGCATCCTAACTGTAACTGTGCCTTTCAGGGTTCTCAGTTGGATGTGCTTGTTGTGTACCTCCTGCTCCAAAGCAGGCACATCAAAGTGTCTAGGCAAGCCTCAAGCCCGACACCATGGACTCAATTCTCAAAAACGAACGCAAAGTCCATGTGCCCGTGTCTTGTATTACGTTGCTCATGAATCTGCCACACCAATGTCTTCACAGAGTGCCGAGTCGCTGGGCATCGTCAGGCTGACGCTTGCAGGAGTCGTAATGTGAAACAACATAGCACTTAACTCCCCCCTAAAAGTTAGCTGTTGAGTAACCAGAACAGAAACTGTAGGGAATCCGACAACATGAAAAGTCCGAGGTGCTAGTTTAATGCCATGTAGGAAACATGAGCCTGTGGTCCGTGACAGTTGGTCATTCTACCCCGTAGCAGTTGACCAGCTGCCACCAACTTCACTAGACTCACTAGACCGAGTTGCTACGACAACTCGTATGCCGTTGACATGTGAGCGCGGAACATGCCTCTGCAAAACATTACTCTGTATCAAACCCGCCACCAACGGCGATGCAACAACATGTCGCGCAGCCGGCTATACTCATCAGAACGCAAGGCACCACGATCAAGCCGCCAGGATTCACCCACTCAACGCCAACCATAGTCGCTGGCGCTAGATCTGGATGACGAGTGAAGCATACATGTCCACTCTCCAGGGCCTCCAAACCCACAGCGGCCTTCTCAATGGCAACGATCTGCGCGACAAAAGAATTTGTGTTGGCCACGAAGCTTGACAAGCCAATAACAATTTCGCACAAAGCCGCGGTATTCGTTGCAACGAGGGCAGTCAAGGCCAATGACCCCACGTCTTCAAAGAGAACAGACATGAAGTCACACGCACCTCCGACGACCGCAATAAAAATGTTTAGGAAAGCTAATGCCGAGATCGTGCTGGCCAAATCCTCCAACTTCACAAGGGATGCGTAACCATCTCCCTGTGACAGGCAGAAGGAGTCCTGCGGCGACACATACATCGAAGCATGCTGGCACTGCCAGGAAGTATGAAAAGCCACATCAGCAGCAGCAGCAGCAGCAGCAGCAGCAACAGCAACGGCAACTCGTGATCGCCGTTTGAGACTGGATTCTTACGGTTGCCATATACAATTACCTATACGTACGTCCTTCACTGTTGCTGACTGTGAAGTCTACCGCAAGTACTTGCTAGCTGCTAGTGCGTTCTATGACATCGTCTTTGCAACGATCTGTGAAGCTGCTGCTGACGACGGTTTGCAGATAACGTCGTTCAGGATTGTTTACTCTTGCTTGCAACATTGCTGTAGCATCCCCCGTCCTGCCCAACGGCTAATTTGCACTCAACCCACCCCATGCTGCACCTAAAACGCTGGATCCCAGGCTTAGCGCCCTTGATTCTGCAGGTGGATGTAACGCTGGGCCCTCTGGCCACTTTTGGACAATATTCGATGACATCTAATCGGGCCTGTCATATCGTATCCGAAAATGTCTTCAGCGTACGGCCTAGAAGTCTTTCCACATCTTTCAAAATGATCGGGCAAAATACTTCATGTTCATCAAAGTCAGCATGCCTCAGCAGCACATAGCAGCCCACTCATCCCAAAACCCCACGCTCACGACAGGAAGGGGAATGGATCGGGCCCTTGATGGGGTTGGGCTTCAGGACCTGCTATACTTCATAGCTTTTTCATGATGTAAGCTATGGCCGCAGCAGGACATGCTCTATGCAACATGACGTCCCCACTTCCATTCGGCTTATAGACAGAACCTTCCATAGAGCACGCGTGTTGTCCCATTCTACTTTTTTGCAGGGGAAGTCCTAGCCATTAGAAACTGTCTTTGTTTAGCGTGCTACTGCTTGATCCACGAAATCCCTCTGCTATCCCGGGGCTTAGTGTTCCTCTAAAGCTTGTATAGAAGTACCATAGCATTATTGTAATGCTGTTGTTTTAGTACAGTTATGAACCCTATGAACAAACAACAAGACAGGACAAGGAGACCACCGCGACGCTAGGTCTGCTGAAACACAGCAAATGCCCACGATGAGAGGAATGAACCACTGGTGTAAAGCCTGATTCCACGAACCCAGGTGTGGAAACAAGCCAGGAGGGTTGCAGCTCTCCTCCAATCCTCCTCTCCTTGTTTCATCTACTCTCCGCTCCTCATTGCCTCCTCGAACGCTTCACGGACACGGCCGTGCATGCTTTCTAGTCACACCTCTAGGCTGAAGCATACAGGTCTGAGGGAACGAATGGTTCAGGTGCCTTTCCATAAATGCAATGGGCAATAACAGCCCACCGGCAACGATAGCCCCCATCAAACTTAAGATGCCTATGTAAAGGACAGCGGGCAAAGACGACCACAAGAAAACGACGAACTACTAGGCCATTGTTTGAGAGACATTCAGGAAAGCCATCTCTTACTTTGTTCGGAGCACATAACTGGAGTAAGGCATCATAATCTCAGCACGCCACAGCAGGATCCAGGAGGGAAAACCAACGACTCGTACTGTAAATTTTGCGCAGCGCGGCAGGGCTACTTGGCAAAAACCAGACCAGTAAACCAGTAAACGGGCCATGACCCAGGGACTCCGGAGTCATACACGTAAACCATTGGTATCAAACCATACACGGCAGGTATCATGCCAGAAGACGCGCCAAGGTGCCGACCTAAGGCCGCAATGCATTGAGGTGCTACGGCTGAGACACCATACCCCATACCACATGAAAGTGTCGAGATGACAAGACTGAGGGCATTCAGACATGATTTTTGAGACGTAAAATACCTGCTGAAGAACACGCAGGATGTGGTTGGCACACAAGCACATAGGACAAAGAAAGCGGAACACACAACCCAGGGCAGCATAGAAAGAGATTCAGGATATCATTCGTTGAGGACACCCGCAAGAATCAAAGTAATTGATGCAACCTTTCTTGGACCCTCTCCCCCGGTGACATTGTACACTTCTGCACTCTACATGAATCGATGCGACTACACCATCCAACAGTATCTCTGTTCTATGCAAGGCTATCCAGAGTTCCGTGGTCACACCCCAGGGAGCCTTGAACTGGCCCAAGACGTCGGCTGCTTCTCCAACGGATACAGCCAAGACAATCTCCAACGTGATGTCCGTCACAAAGCTCACCAGCAAAGATAGCATTGCAAACCGATTATTCGAGCGGACGTGGCCCTTCATTGACAGCAGGCCGAAGATGATGCCGAAGACTAAAGCCAGGCTGTCCACAACAATGTCGCCAACCTCGGCTTCGTACATGACAGCGATCACTTGCTTGATGTGGAGCCAATCTGCACATGCAGCCTGCGAGCTGCTGGACGCACATCGGAACCTATCTTCCGCTGAAGCTGCATAAACGATACCCTTGCACAGTTGACTGTTCGCTTTGTCCAGCAGGCATAAGTTGTCGTAGCTTTGGAACCTGGCAACAGCGTACTCACACTGAGTCCCAAAATACTCGTCATTGCATGCACAGCCACCATCCCATTGGCAAACAAGGGATGCAGCACAGGCTTCTGGAGTAAGGTATGGTCTGCAAAAGTCGTTGGTTGAAGGTTGATTGCCCATGCAACCAATCCAGCTTCCTCCGTTGCTGCACTGCTCTTGAGTGAGCGGCACAATTTGCCAGTCACAGATCAGCTGCATCTTGCATGCCGTAGCCGATAAGTACGCAGCACATATTCCAGCGGCTGTGGCATCTTGGCCAAGACCTGGTTGGCAACTGTATGCAAATTTTGCAGCCTCAGATTGCCAATAGCAAGCAGCCTGCTCTGAACACTGCACTTCGTCGAGAAATCTGCCACAATCAGCTGTCAAGCCTGCTCGGGTCTTGCAAGGCGTTGCAGGCGAGCAGAGATTACCAGCCCCGAAACAGGCTGCTGTTGCCTCCTCTGTGTCAAGCGAATCGCACTGCTTACCAGGTCCTGTTTCACAGTGCAAGGCCGTGCTGCTGGAATTGCATTGGCATGGCGGGGCTTCTCTGACGAATGGCAGAGTCGTGGTGAGTGTAACAGTTCTTGATATTGTTGTTGGCCAGCAACACTCGGAAACAGTGTAGCCTGAAGGCGGCGGCTCGATCCAGGTCCAGGATGGGGAGTGGTCCGCGCATGCTGCAGGACTAAGCTCACGAAACTTGCTGCAGTCAGTCTCGGAAGTCCGCACTCCGTACACGACCCAGAATGGAACAGTCAAAACGGAAAGACACACTACAACACAAAACCAAAAAAAACATACATCACAAAAGTCTGCATGGCCATTGTAATCGCATATTAGAAGCCAGCCGCCGAGGGCGGCACAGCAGGCAAGGAGCGCGAACAGAACGCCAAACACCAACATCGTTGTGTTGGTAGCGTACCATCCTTCCGCTGCAGTACAGCCTTGTAGCGTCATAGATACGACAGCTGCCAGAATAGCCAGGGCCAATGTCGCCTTCGGCGATAGCATCATGAGCCAAGGACTTCAGGCAACTGTCTAAATCTGATGTGCTGTTGAAGAAGTACTCTGAGCAAATACATTCGGCGAATTGGAAAGACGTGGCTCCACAAATCCAACATATGGACACTTATCACTCCCAAAGACCTCGCCAGCCCTAAGCCTGTGATTTGTAGTTTTTTCAGCTCCAAACTCACTGGCTGAAGTTAGGAAAAAGCAACGCGAATCCTGATTAGTCTTACTATTCACATCCCAAGGACTGGACCTGACTGTCAACCAACTCTGCAGTCAAAGCCAGAATATTGACAATCAGAAATAGGGGTAGTAATGACATATGAAAGCCAGAATGACAAGAACAGCAGAAGCGCATGGCAACAACACTGTGCCAACAAGGCCAAATCAGCATCAGGGTCTTGCCGAAGCGGTGCACAGTCAACCGCTGTTCTGGACAAAGGGTTAACTGGTGTACGAAGCATGGTAACGGGAAGTGCTCAATTTTTGGATGTTGGCAAAGCGGACAGCGTGTCCTTCAAATTTGTCTTATGAAAGCTGTAGTGCGCATTACTGACCCGGCCGCTGTTGCCGCTAAGACACTAATTGATGGTATCTGCTTACGGGCATGGCTGTCATGCGGTCATACTGCCATCGATCCTGTTCTCCATCTTGCGGTGTCCTTATTCATTTCCGTGTGCTCTTGCTGTAGCGTTCCACTACTCAGAACAGCATCATGCTTTTCGCACTTTACAGCAGCAGTGTGCGTGACTTGCGATGCTGCTACTAATCCTTCTATGAGTATGACTCGACGTTGTAGCTACGGTTGTTGTTTGGGAGGAGACGGTGGAGGAGCAGGAATCTGGATAGGAGTTGGAGTTGAACTGGGAGGTACTGGGAGTAGCTTTGGTTTAGCAGCACAAATACTGATGACACGATAACGACTGGCTTGGGGTTGTACGAGGGCTTCCTCTGAGGGTTCTAGATTAGAAGGCTTCTGGAAACTTGAAATGTTCACGACGTCTATAAGAGTTCCACACGAGGCTGTCTTAGGATCCTATAAAGATGTCTATGATGGTATATTGCGTGGATACGCCTTGCTCTGAGACTCTTTCAAGACTTTGTAGTGCTCACAGGTTCTCTCAGGGTTCCACACGGCTTCTCCTCACCAAGGGTTCTCTAAGGCTTTAAGGGTTCTCTGTAAAGATTTTGTTACGGAGGGTTCTATACGGGTTCTGAACTGTCTCTAGAGGGGCCCTGAGATCTACACCAATTATACGGCTTCGATACTGTTCTGTTGGGGGCAGGTTGGCCAATCCGACGATCCACTGATTTGATCTCTTTCGACAGCATGAACCCTGTCGAGTGCACTCCCCCACTCAAGTCGCCGCGATTCCCTAAAAATGCATACAAAATCAAGGTCGGCAACTACAAGGTGAAGATCGCAATCAAATTGCATGAGCTGGGTATCAACCTGGCCTCATCCTTCCGCGGCTCTTGTAATCATAGCTCCATGCTGCCAGCTCTCCCATGTGAAACATCGTTTGCACCGAGTATCACCGCTAAGGGCTCGGTTCCATTAGTGCTCAGCTTGCAAGCCTGCCACGCCATGCCTGAACCCTAGGCCCTACACGACGATGTCCTACAGTAGCTTCAGAGTGTCTCCTGCTGATTCAGTCGTCTGCTGAAGCATCCACTCGGCCTGCTCTTTAAACCGCATTTGATCCCTTTGGACGGATTCATGGGTCACCAACGTTTACAAAGCTCATTGCGCGGCTTAGCAAGAACTCTGCGAAGCCAGCGATCGGCCAAGGCTGAACCGGAAATCGGACTTATCGGATGAAGCGGAATGAAACGCTTCAGCGGGGAGCCTGCGGGAGTATAATATCAGGGTCGGAAGAATTCCGAATATCCTTTCTGGCGCTCCTATCTACTGTCCGGATCATTCACCATGTTGAAGCTTTTCAACACGACGGGTCTCGCTGCACCGTTCCTTTACGCCTAGTTTGGGTAGTGGCTGAACCCTAAATTGCGCTAAACCCTAAACCCCCCAAACCGTATTGATTTCATCCCAAGGGCTGAACGACGAGACCCAGAGAAGCCCCGCCGAACAGCCCAAGATATAGATTCTGCATGAAGCCAACTCCCGAAAACACATACATGCAGTAGCCCCAACACGAACAAACGTAACGTATAACCAGAAATAACTAAACCCATATGAGCCCCTAAACCCTAAACCCCCCTAAACAATAATTTTACTTCGAACATCTCCACCCTCACGGTAGTCTGTTGGGTTGGGCACTCCACAATTCTCACCGGAGTCTCACGGTAGTCTGTGGGGTTGGGCACTCCAGGAGGTAGTCTCAGCGGGCGAGGAGTAATAGCTGACTTTAGAATCTAGCAACCCCACACCGAGGGTGTGTGAAAAAGGAAAGTCATAAACAAGGAGCCCTGTTCTTTGTCTTGTTCCTTCTATTTTTGGCGCGGCGGTGAACGGCCAGCGTTGGTCATCTGTCCAGGGCCTCGAGCTGCCCCTTGGTCCCAACCTAAGTGAAGGAGGTCTTTTGGGTTTAGGGTTATAGGAGCTTTTGGGCTTTAGACATCTACGAGTAGGATTTAGGATTTACGGTTTGGGCGAGGGTTAAGTGCTTGGGCACAGGGTTTCTCTAGCGCTTTATTTAGAATAGAGTGTAGGAAATTTATGGCTTCTAGCATTCAGGGCTGCGGGTTTCCATGGCAGGATCGGCCCTGGAAGATTTGAGCCCTACACCACTCTCCTGAAGGTCCCTAGCAGGGTGTCATCTACCAGGCGGCAGCAAAGCTGTCCATCACGGCGTTGATTTGTGCGGAAGACTCCTGTTGCGCTTCTTAGGGGTCAGGCCCTGGCTTGAAAGCATGTGGGGTGTTTTATGGTCCATCACGGCGTCTGCGAATGCTAAGCTTCTAATTCCAAGCTCTACACCTGAGGCGCCTAAACTGAAGCGTTGCCCCCAGAATGCATATCGACTCGATACCCATTTCCGGCACACGCTAAAGGGCTCCTGGATGCTTAGGACCGGGAGGTTTTCGGGCTGCAAAACTGGGTCGTCTTGCGAAAGTAAATGTTGCAATTGGCGATCCTCTGCACCATGGCAAAACGAATGCAAACGAATCATCGCTCGATGATATCATAAAGCTGGCCATGCTGGCTGCTGACGCCCCTGTGCCAAGAAAACTACTAGCTGCTAACTGCTATCTCGAGAATCGCAAGCCCCGCAACTGAAAGCCCAGCTTAAGCTCATCACAAACTTCCAACTAAACTTAAAGTCAGCCTCCAAAAACCCATTAAACTCAAGAAGTCTGAAACGGTTTCAGGGGTGATTGTCATGAGGTTCGGGTATGCTGAACGTTTGTTATAAAGGTGGGGTTCTAGGGATGTCTGAGTCTAAACCGTCGCTGAAGCCACAGAAAAGACACCTCCAATGGACTAAGAACGAAGGCAACAACGGCAGCATGTGCATGTCAGGGCGCCGGAATCAGAAACCAAAATCAGCTTACCTCCCCGGCAGCCATGGACATGACACATCTGTGACGAATGTAAAACTGGAACTAGGTTAGAAGAACTTAAAGCCTAAAAGGGCTGGGTATTTGGAGAACTAGCTAAGGAAAGATGGACCCAAATCCTAAAGCCCTAAACGCCAAAACCTGAAGACGAGGTCCTTCCAGCTCTCCGAGGGAACGCTACACTCCTCGGCTGTTCGAGCTTCTTTCGCGGGTTCCGCGCCGCAGGTGTAACGCAATGTCGCTCGGCTGTTCGGGGTTTAGGGCTTAGGAAGGCCATTGGCCTGGTATCTACCGGCACTGGAGCCTCTGAATTTTGTAGGGTAAAACAAGCGAAACTCCTCGAACCCTGCGTTCAAACGAAGACTTCGGCGTTCAGAATGGGTGTGGTTCATATAAGGGCTTTCACAATGGGCATATATGGTTCCTTAACGTATCGGGCTGCATGGGGGGATCCAGGGGTTTGGGTATAGGGGCCTTAATACCTGGAATAGGGTTTTGGGGTATCTGGCAGCTACTTGTACATTCATAGTACAGTACGACTCCAGCATTTCCGTATGCTCAGCGCCGACGGTACGATTAGAACTTGACAGTCCTCACAGGAAGCTCAGACAGTGATTGTTGCAAGCTGAACCTGATCTATGCTGCATGTGCTTCCTATGGTAATACAAGTCTGCTACGAACCTTCCATCGGTCGGTTACTATATCAGCCGTAAAAATCACCTACACTAGTTTGGGGGGGGGGGGGNNTGTTCTAATTATTCAGGCCCCTATGTTACACCTACTTTGGCCCGGTCGTCTGGCTTGAGTTTGTTGAATGTGCACGAGTAAGCTAAAGAGGGTCTGTCAACGACGGGAGTCAAAGGGCGCTCAAGCTCACACTGACAAAAACCTCAAAATACCCCCATATTCAAGAAGCCTAACGAGCCCTGCACCGAAACCTACAAGTTTCACTATAACTTCCACGATTCTATAGAGGAAATTGATCTCCCAGTGCTTCCATGGGGCAACCAGCCACAGCGCATATGGTGCTCCACCGGCACTCCTAAAGCAACGGGAAAACTGCGAAATTTCTCTGCACTTGCACTTTGCTTAAACCCTAAATCCTACACCCTAAACAGCCCAAAACCCCAACGGCCCTCACCCCCAAGCGCGAACACCCTCATCCCTGAAGAAATTGAGCCCTACGGGTTCAGGCTTAGGGTTGTTGGGCTTGCAGAGTCTCGAACCAAGGCTTCAGGAGTTCGCAAAGGTGAGGCTCTCGCACCCACCCCAGGCCCCAAAACAAAATCTACGCCCAAGACCTCCACACCCGACATTCCCATCTGCCTCCTGGACGGTTCCCACCCAAACTGGGTGCCCAACTCTAGGACCCTATAGTCTAGGGACCTCAATAATTATCTATACTATTTTTGGGAGTTCCTTATTGTGATTATAGTGGGCCCCGAAACCCTATTCTACTTGTAATCAAGGCCCCTGAATGA